AAGAACAGCAACACCATGGAGTGTTTTTCAACGTCAAAATCAAGTATAAGACCACCTACACTATTTAAAAAAATAAATACAAAAAAGGTTATAGCGAATTCTATGTATTATTATTATTATTTACCTTGAAATAAGCATTGCAGCAACAACGGATGACTTTTAAATATTGTGTTATTTTTTATACTAGAATAATTTTTTTCTACAAATCATTTAAAAACCATTCATGTGTAAGTACATCTTTAACATATTCATTTCCAAAAGAAATAATAATCCAAATCGGTGTTATAATTAAAAAAATAATAGTAATCATTACAGATAACCATGTATAATTATCTAAAGTAATGTATGATTTATTATATAAATTTTGAATTTTAAACATATTCTTACCTATAATTTTAAATAAAAATTCACCGATACTAGCTAAAATACCAAGTGTTGTTGAATCATCGAGTGAAGTAGCAATTGATTTTATGTTTATGTGAAATGACAATAACAAATAACATGATTCTACCTTAAGAAAAAAACAAATAATTGTATGATATAGAGAGAACTCACAAAGATAACGAAAAAACAGCTATAAAATATTAAAATATTTTTTTGAACACATTTATTTATCATTTCATTACTAAATATCAACAAGAATTATGTGTTGACATAGATCGTATTTTCTTTTATATTCTTTAAAGTGTATTGATGATACTATCTCTATTATCTTTTAGAAAAAATTGTTTATTTGATCCTATGCACAACAAAATGTGAAATATTAATAAATAAAACAAGTGTATATCGTAAGTTAAAATGTCCTCGAGATACCCATTTCATAGTAAGTGATACAAGAGCAGCAAGAAAACCAACAACAATAGCTTGTAATCGTGTTAAAATTATATTTCTAATAATCATACTTCGAAGTTCTGAATTTTTATCCATATCTCCAATATTAGCCTAAAATTATAGAAGCCTATATTGAATATTTTTGAAATAAATTTTAATTGCATACTTGTGTAGATAAACGTGATTCTAATGTCATTTCTAGATTTCCTTTTAAGTCAAGTAAAGCTGAGACAAGTACGTATAAATTTCAGTTATTTCTTTAAATACATTTAATTCCTAAATAGAAATATAATGAAATTACAACATATTTTGCAATATAACAAAATCGATAATTTTCTTTTTTCTTAAACATATCTACAAGTTGAATATATACAGTACATAAAAACAATATCTAATTTGAGTTTAATCAAAAGGTTAATATTATTCATTGATGATCAGACATAGACGAGTTCCTTAATTTCTATTATTTTAAAAAATACTATCGAATTCTGAAATAATTAAAATCCTGTTAGAAACACTATAAAAAAACATAAAATTATAATATTAATCAATACCTTAACACGTTCAAGAACTAATCCAGCAGCAACAGTACCAGATCCTGCCATCATAAAAGGAATGAAAACTTGACGTGCTGCACAATACTATTTTTCTTCATTACGATCAAATATAGCCGATGATGTTGTTTTGTTATATCGTGAACAATTTTCTATGCAATACGAAAAAAATGAAATTTTACTTGGATATTAATATTATTCAACTTACGATTATGAATAAGTATTTCAACTTCACTATCATTTGAATTTATACCTGAATCGAAACTATTATCATTTTCATAGACTGTTTGATAATTCAATGGATTCCACTAAAATAATTCAAAAGAAATATATGAAACTGAACAAAAAATTAAATTACGTTTTCGTACCATTTTCTTGTAATGAGCTGACAATAATTTGTTTTTTTAATGAAAATAATTGTTGATGTTGATTGCTAGCTTCTTCTCATTATCAATACAAAAATAAAACACCTATTGTACATATCTATCGATATTTTAAAACAAACTGACAACAAGCGCCACATACAATTCATTTGAATAAAAGAATAATTTTAGAAAAATAAATTCAAAATAAATTTATTATGTTTTTGAGAAAAAAGTTTTTTAAGAATTTCTTTTTCATTAGTTAAATAATAAAATCTTCGATATCATTAGGGTGTGGGCGTGTGAATATGGATGAATAAACACCATATCCACATCCACCCTTAAGATATATATTATATAATGAATTAACTTCATTGTCTAATGTTTTGTAATATAAATTTTATATTATTTTCTAAAATCGAATTCATAATTTATTTTAATAGTTGGTTCAAACCATTCAAAAGTACAAAATCAAGAACGATATAAATTCTTTTTACTATATATTTTAGATTCAACAAACTCTGATCATCATATTTTTCGTTGGGAAATATCGCTAGCTTTAAATTCAACAAAGATATTCTCATGATACAATACAAATATACTTTATACAATGCACAGATAGAAGGGTGTGGGTGTGGGTAAGTTAAGAGATGATAGATGCAAACACTCATACCTAACACCCACATATCAGCTGGTGACATACACACACCCACTCCTCTAGTAGATTTTAGACGAGATCAAGCAAACAGATCCATAAACGCCTCGTACTATATCTTTAGCTACATTGTAAACGAACATCTGTATACGGATAATGATCAGTCTTCGTAAAACCACTAGTTTATATCGATGTATCATCATTGATGAAAAGCAAACTCTAATAGTTTAAACCAAAACAATTAAGAGATACTTTTTTAAAATTTATTACAAAATAAAGAGAAGTACGTTGACAAAAAAAGGCATGATAGAATTTAGTATCATATGAATCATCTCTGAATCATTTGATAACAGAATAGAAAAATAAAAGAGCATTAATAAAAACAAACAAGGATAATGGTAAAAGAAAAAAAAAGAAATTGGTCCCTATGAGGATCGAACTCATGACCTCCGCGTTATTAGCACGGCGCTCTAACCAGCTGAGCTAAGGGACCACATTTTTTTCGTCATCGAAACAAGTATTTATATTTTTCAAGGATATATTGAATTTCGATTAAACCTCTATTCAAACATATATAATTTGTTCAAAAAGGATGATAGTAGTTTGATGAAGCTCAAATTATATTCATAATGTAGTTATTCAAAAATAAAACAAATAGAAATATAAATCTTTTTGAATTTTATTTAAAAACAACGGATGACTGAAGATTTTCTAAAAAACAGATAAATGTTTTTAGAAATATACGTAAACTAAGAATAGTTTGTTATCTAATTCCTCTTTGAATCATTTACAATAAATCAATATTTTCATATCTCGACTATTTTATTAATAGCAATGCACGAGTTTCATATTTGTTTAAGATAGTCTTTTCTTATCTCTTTGATTTTTATGTATTTATCCTACTTATTATGAGTGACCTTTTTATTTTCTGTCGATAATTTATTGGAAAGATTTGAGTTAATTACATATTTTTATTTACAACTTTAATCAAAAATAAAAACCCAATCCATTATATGTACATAAAAAAAAATAATAAGAAAACTGCTATTTTTTTTTCTATCCAAAAACTTTTTAAAAATTCCATGGGCATTGTTCTTTATTAAGAACATATTTAACAGCGTCTAAAACATCACCTTGAATTGTCGTTGGTATTTTCCATGGTTCTGTATCATCAATTATGTGTTTATTTGGATCATAAACACCTGTACATACAAGAATTGATTCACATATAGTGGCACTTAAATATTGTGAATCCTGAATTAAATCATATCCACTAGTACTAGTTTTACAATTCATATCTTGTTTTAGTAAATCATTATATATATTTGCACCAACAATATCAACATCAGGATTGTCACTAGAATATAGAATGAAAGTTTTTATTTAGAATCATATTCGTACAAAATATTACCCAATAAAATAAATTCGATCAATTTTTGATTGTCCATTAACAAATGCTAATTTATTTGCAATAATTTCAGCATATTGAAACGAAATTTCAAATGGTTTACCAGTAAATGCTTTATATTTTAATTCCTTTCCACTAAGTTTCTATTTGAAAATAAAAATTACATTTTTATAAAATTCTATTATGTAAATTAATGATTTACTTTATATAAAGTTTCTAAACATGTAAGAAAAGCTCCATGACCAAAACGTGGTAGATCAGCGGCAGCTTTGAAAACTAAATCTTTATTGCAAGCAATAACTGGTATATGATTACAATCATTTGTTTTATCAACAGGTACAACTGCTGGATTGCCATCCGTTAGAAGAAGATCAGTAATAACCTGTAATGAACTTTCCCAATTGATCGGTTCACCAAGTAAGAGAATGGCTGTATTAGAAAGAAACAAGATTACTAATAAATAAAATAATTACTAAAGAAAAAACTTTACCATCAATGGGACGGAAATTTTCATCACGAACAAGCCCTTGTGTTTTTATCATTTCACTCTTAATAAAACGAAAAACAGAATTGGATATAATGATAAAAATTATATTTCTATCTTACTAATTTAGCTCGATTCATATGATCCACCATATCTAAATCTGGAAATGCTTTACATACTTTTTCGATTGTTGTTATACTTTTAAAACCAAGACTATACAAATATAAAATAAAGATCAATATCTTTCTAATGATCAATTACATACAGTCGACCAATTTCTTCTGTAGGACCTTGTCCAGATATCAAAACATGTTTGTTATGATATTCTGTAAAAGTACAGATTGGTGTTTGAGCAAGTACAACTTGATCTGGATTGATCTATAATTTAGAATCAATGTTAAATAAAGTTATATTATAACAGAAAGATATGTACAATAATTCCAAGCATAGATGATAATTGTTTGGCCTTTTCTGATTCCAATACACATGTATTTGAAAGAAAAACGACAGGTATTTTAAGTTGAATTAATGCTTGAATAGCAGGTTTTGCTGCTTTTATAAAATTTGGACCTTTTGTAATAACACCATCAATATCAAAAATACAGGCAAAATCTATCTGTTAATAAAGAATATAAATAATTATTTTTTATATCAATAAGTATCTTTACCAGTTTCATAGTAGAAATTATGAGAAGATCGAAGGATATGCGCTGAAAATCGAGTATTTTGTTATGTGATGCTCAGGTTAATACTTCATACACATATATATAGGTTGCTAGTTAAAGGCATGAATAAGATAGAAGCACGTGTTGTCAGTGTGATTTTATTACGAAATTGTGCTATTTTAGTTCCTTAACCATCATCTGATGTTGTGGGGCTGTGAATGACAGTCAGATGACGTACGTTCAGGCTTAAGCAATTTTCTTGTTGTTCTTCTCCCGGATGTAGCCTATAGACGTATTGTCAACATTATTCTCTTTCTCGATCATGCCTTCGACGCGTGCAAGTAACATCGTAGTTTTGTCTTACTTTAGTTTCAGTATAATATAACGCATAAAATTAATTAGTAAGCATACATTCAACGCATGATCGACTAGTTTTTACCAATAAAAAAAAAAGTTTTTTTCCTATAAGCAATATTTGACTCATTCATGATCAGTATGAAAGCAAGAACATGAATGATATTAATACCTTATCTTTTTAATGGCAACTTGCTCTCTACCTTATTCTGTAAATATTAGTTAAAAGAACATAACATTTGCGCCAGTAGTGACCCACTTTGTATTCGAAGGATTTGAGTAGTATGTTGGAGATTTAAGTTCCCCAGTTAAACAAGAGCGTACAAATTATCTTCTGTTGAAAAATATCACTGACTTTGTTAACTGCATCATATATTGAATTAATTATACGATTAAATAAACGAACGGAAAGAATGAGATCAAAGATTTGAAATCCAAAACATCAATTATTATAGATAAAAAATAATAATTAGTAAATATTCAATATTTTCTAATATTTTCTAATTTGTAATTTAATTGACGGTATATCTGATTGTCTTCAAAACTGTAATAGATAAAATATTCACATATTTCACGTATTTGATTATTAATCAAATATGTTGTTATTGTAAACTAGACAAGCAAAACTATTAGAACTACATGAAACAACAATTTGTTTTACTGTATATTCGAATCAAATATCAAAAATTCTTTCCATAAGAACCTTATCGAATTGATTCCTTCAAGATTATGAACGGAAAAAATAATACCGAATTCGTCTCTTCACTTTCATTCCGTAATACTATTTATGAGTACAATGTTTTATGATATAAATATTTGTATAAAGAAAAAAGAAATGAAAATCTGGAAAACTGATAGGATTTCAATAATCGTTTTATATATAAATATATCTGAAATTATATTGTATGATGTCTTTTACATACTAATTAACTAAACGAATTATGTAATAATATACTATCAAAGATCGACTAGATAACAGACAATACACATCAAATTTTGAAACTAAGTCCATGCTATCATGTAGATGATGTTTACAATAAATTAATTCTAAATAATATTCAACAACTAAGAAATTAAAAATTATACAATAGCTCTTCATTCCTAGTAATCTACAGATTCTTTTAAAATATGAATAAATCATATAAGCAATAAAAACATCGATATTGCCAGTTTAATATTTATAGAATTATGCATATGTTGAGTAAATATTTGTCTTCTTTGTAAATACTTATAAAGTAGAAAAAAAACATCCATTTTTATATTTCTTCAACGAAAGTTCGATAAGTTCAAAAAATAAATTATATATTGAAAGGCTTCTACAGAAAGAATATTTTTTCTCTACCACACATATTTACCACACTTCTACATGATGTTTCCTGTCATCTTAAAAAAACATTATATGTAGATATTTGATCAAAATTCTTATAGCATCTAATACTTTTTAACTAAAAGTAGACGTTATCAAACGGTCATTGAGTGTATAATATTAAATTTTAAGATAAATAGTTTTCAAAAAAGAACTCTAAAGTGTACCCAGAAACGCTAACCTTTCGTACTGAGTGTCCTTATAGATCAAACATGGAACGAACAGCTAATACAGTTACATTCTGTATATTTTTTTTTGGTCACGACTTACATGCGTGTTCTCATATGTTTCGCATAGATATAAATAACTACCAGGCAATAATTGACTCAATAGAACATATGATTCATTTTTTCGTTCTTTATTTAGAATCTTTTGCATTATATATTTTCTTTTTCATCTGTTCTTCTCTTTTGTTCTTCTTTCCAGTTATGATTTATGTCGTTTATCCATTTTCTCTAGGCAAGTCGTACTTTGCTATGAAGAAAATAGCAATGCACATTACCGACGTCAACAGTAAAGAAAAGAAAAAAAGAGAAAGGAATAAGTGCAAAGAGTCGCCGGGTTTATTTTATTTCATTTCTTTTTAATACGTACTACATATAATACTCGTATATAAAAAGTGTAACTGATCAAAAAGTTCATAGTTTAATTTTAGAATCAATTTATTATGGAACAAGTTGTAAGATTCTATTTTCAAATAATTTATACTAATAACATTATACGATATTTTATTGTTAGAAATCTGCATTGAAAACAGTTCAACAAACAGTTACTGAAGGTATTCATGATCTGACCGTTAGTAAAGATGAAAAAAAAGATGAACAAAAAAAACCTAATCAATCAACACCAACAAAAAAATCAGTACCGACAGGATCAGCGGCATTAAAACTTAAAGCTTCGAAACAAATTAGTATTCGTGGTATTCCATTGGTAAGATCTATAAATTATTTTTATTTTTTAAAAGAAAACTAAAATGTTTAAATGTCGATTTTATATTAGTTAGAAAATGTTCAAGGAGTAAAGAAAACTTTCAATCGTCATTTACATTTTACTGTTGTTAAAGATCGTGATGTTGCTACTCAACGTGATTATTATTCATCATTAGCTTATACTGGTTAGTTTTACATAGAAAATAAAAGATTAGTTACATATGTAAATCTTTATGTTTGAATATATAGTTCGTGATCATCTTGTTGGTAGATGGATTCGCACACATCAACATCATTTTGAATCTGATGGAAAAGTATAAAATTTCTGTAAAATGAAATTCAAATATTTATTTACTTGTATTTTAGCGTGTTTATTATCTTTCTATGGAATTTTATATGGGACGAACATTAGCAAATTGTATGATTAATTTAGGCATTGAAAATGATGTTGATGAAGCTCTTTATGAATTGGGTTTAAATATTGAAGAATTAGAAGAATTTGAAATGGATGCAGCACTTGGAAATGGTGGTTTAGGTAAATTATTATTAAAAAAGAAAAATTTGAAATCATAACTTTTATTTTATTTCAATTATCTTATTTAGGTCGATTAGCTGCTTGTTTTCTTGATAGCATGGCAACATTAGGGCTTTCATCATATGGATATGGTCTTCGATATGACTATGGTAATAATTTATATTAGTAATTTAATTATATATTCTTTTTCTTGAATTAAGGTATTTTTACACAACAAATTAAAGATGGCTTTCAAAATGAAGTTCCAGATGATTGGTTAAGATATGGTAATCCATGGGAAATATCTCGACCAGAATTTCTTGTACCTGTACAATTCTATGGTAAAGTTATTGAAGAAAATGGAAAAAAGAAATGGGTTGAAACTGAAATAATTCAAGCTATGCCATTTGATACACCAGTAAGATTCTATTAGTTTCTGTATAAGATAAATCTTTATAATCAAAAATTGAGTAAATTGATCAGTTTTTCAGTAAATACTTTCTTAAGTTATAATATCCATAAATTTAATCGGTCTTTCTTTTGTCTAAATTTCGGCTGTATATAATGAAAATAAATATCTTTTTAGATTCCTGGTTATAATAATAATGTCATAAATACACTTCGATTATGGTCAGCTAAAGCACCAGGAAAATTTAATTTTCAATTATTCAATGCTGGTGATTATATTCGTGCTGTTGCTGAACAAGTAAACTTAAATAAAACGTTTTACTTTAAAAATTCTTTCATTTATTATTATTATTCTAGAGTTTAACTGAAAATATTACTCGTGTATTATATCCAAATGACAATGTATGTATAAAGAAAGAGGAAACAAAATTTTCGACTAATAAATTTTGTTTATTTAGTTTGATGAAGGAAAAATTCTTCGTTTACAACAAGAATTCTTCTTAGTATCAGCATCATTACAAGATATTTTAAGACGTTATAAACATTCCAAACCATATTCTGCTACAGATAAAAAACCTGATTTTACACGTTTTCCAGAGAAAGCAGCTGTTCAATTGAATGATACACATCCAGCATTATCTGTTGCAGAATTAATGCGTTTATTAATTGATGAAGAAAATCTTGAATGGGATCAAGCATTTGAAATAACCAAAAAAACAATTGCTTATACAAATCATACATTATTACCTGAAGCACTTGAACGATGGCCTATTGATATGTTTGAAAAACTTTTACCACGACATTTACAAATTATTACAGAAATTAATTTACATCATTTAGACGTAAGAATAAAATAATAATTCAATTTTTTTAAAATAAATTATTCTTCTTTCTTTTTTAGCTTGTACGACAAAAATGGCCTGGAGATGAAGAACGTCTTAAACGTATGTCAGTTGTTGAAGATGAACATAAAGTAAGAGAATAATTTAAATAGATAAATTATTAAACTGATATTATTTATTCTAGGTTGTTAACATGGGTTATTTATCAATTGTTGGTTCACATGCTGTTAATGGTGTTGCTCAATTACATAGTGATTTATTAAAATCTACACTGTAAATTTTCATATATTCTTTCTTAGTAATAAATATGTATTTATTTTTATATAGATTTAAAGATTTTTATGAACTTAATCCTGAAAAATTTCAAAATAAAACAAATGGTATAACACCACGTCGTTGGATATTATTATGTAATCCTGATTTATCTGATGCAATTGCAAGTAAAATAGGTGAAAGTTGGATAACAAATTTATCACAATTATCACAATTACGTAATTTTGTTAATGATGAACAATTTATTCAAGATGTTCAACGTATTAAACTCGTAAATTTATTTATTTTATTAATAAATAATATTTTCAAAAACAAAAAATAATCTTTTAGGAAAATAAACAACGTTTAGTTGAAATGTTTAAAGATGAGTATAATGTTAATGTTAATCCAGCTTCAATGTTTGATGTACAAATAAAACGTATACATGAATATAAACGACAATTATTAAATTGTCTTCATATTATTACACTTTACAATCGTATTAAAGATAATCCAGATGCACAAACTGTTCCACGTACAATTATTTTTGGTGGAAAGGTAAAAATAATCAGACGTAATTTTTTTTCCTATACAATATTTCATCTATATTTAAGGCTGCACCTGGTTATTTAACTGCTAAATTAAGTAAGTTCATTTGTAAAAAGAAGAAAAACTAAAATTTATCTGTTTTTTTCCTTCTATAAATTTTAGTTATTAAATTAATTTGTAATGTTGGACGTACAGTTAATAATGATCCAGTAGTTGGTGATCGACTTAAAGTTATTTTTCTTGAAAATTATCGTGTTAGTCTTGGTATGTATAAATTATAAATTTTAGTTTCCAATACATATGATTATTTTGTTATATTTTAGCTGAAAAAATCATTCCAGCTGTTGATTTATCAGAACAAATTTCATTGGCTGGCTTAGAAGCATCCGGTACAGGTAATATGAAAATGATGCTTAATGGTGCATTAACAATTGGTACATTGGATGGTGCAAATGTTGAAATGGATGAAGAAGTTGGACGTGATAATATATTTATATTCGGTATGACTGTTGATGATGTTGATGCATTACGCAAAAAAGGGTAAAAAAGAAAAAAATGTTTATAAAATATTTATACTAAAATTTTTCTATAGATATAAATCCAAAGAATTTTATGATCGTGAACCAGAATTAAAACGAGCATTGGATCAAATTCGAGATGGATTTTTTTCACCTGAAGATCCAAATATTTTTGCTGATATTATTAAACATTTACTTGATTGGAATGATCAGTAAGTGTTTTTCAATTTTTTAAAGAAAATAATTAAATTTTTTTTGTTATAGTTATATGTTACTTGCTGATTATGCTGAGTATGTTAAAGCACAAGAACGTGTTGATCAATTATATAAAGTAAAAAAAAAATAGAACAAAAAAAAAACAAATATTATTTTAATTTAATTTAGAATCAAACTGAATGGACGAAAAAATGTATTTTAAATATTGCTGCATCTGGCAAATTCTCATCTGATCGAACAATTGCTGAATATGCAAAAGAAATTTGGGGTGTTGCACCATCAGATAAAAAATTACCTGCACCCGAAGAAGGTCGACCAGGTATGAAACATGAAGGTGAAAAAATCGAAGTAACACAACCACATGTTCGACGACAAGATTATTAAGAACAAGTCAAAATAAATTCGTATAACGAAAAAACTAGATTAGAATGATTTCTTAATTTTATTCTTTTTATTATAATCGCGCTTTTTTTCCATAGCTTTATTTCTTCTTTTTTCGTGTATGTACATGTGCGCGTCTAAACTAGGTTTTATTTAATAAACAAGCATTTAATGACAACGTACTTTTTTTTTTGTTTCTGTTCTGTATCTTTTAACGTTAAGCTTTAGAAAAAAATATATTTAAAGGAAAAAGAAAAATATTATTTTGTAATGTGGATATTTGGCTATGGTTCGATTGTTTGGAAACCAGATTTTCGATATATTAATCGAATGGAAGGACATGTAAAAGGTTTTATTCGACGTTTTTGGCAATTATCAGAAGATCATCGTGGTTTACCAGGAAAAGTAATTTGATTATTCATAATTTTTAATTAAAATATAATTTATATTTATTTTACCTTAGCCAGGACGAGTGGTAACATTGATATCAACAGGAAATCCGTTAGTAAGTTAAAATAATCATTTACTTTTAAGATTAGATAGACTTTATCTTAATTGTGGAGGTTTTTTTTCAGCTACTTAAAAATAAATATTTATGTACCTGAATTAACTGAGCTAGACGAACGATTAGTTCAACTCAAAAATCATATAAGAACTATAAGACTATTATCTAAACTAAAACTTTCCATATGATTTTATATTTATGCTTCATTTCATAATAATCGATAGTCTTATTTGATTTTTTTTTCGTTCGATTAAGAGAAAAAGAATTATATGAGAAGAATATTTTGATTTTTGAAATATGACTGTTTTTTCTTTTTTGACAATGATCGGCGACTGTATATATTTGCATTTATGATTAACTTCTCTTACATTAATTAAGAAAAAGAAATATATATATTAGAGATACAAGAATTTTATTCAATGTTAATTAAATTTCTTCAACTGTACTTAATAACTTCTATTTTATTTATTCTATAAAAAAAAAACTAAGTAACCTTGAATTACGATTTACTTCTTATATAGGAAGTAGTTAGATATTTGATATTGTCATTCGCGTATAAAAGAACGTCGATGAAATACGCTTGATGACATTAAGTCATTATTATCTGTTATTATTTAATGAAAATATGATCTTAAAAGAATAGAAAATTAATTTCAAGGAAATTCTATCAAGAATCTAAGTAATTAGAAAAAAAGACCGTCATATAAGAATTAATTTAATTCTTTTTTCATAAACAACGAGAAGCTTTTGTGATTATGTTATAAAAAAAACAGAAATAGAACTATTTTTTTATTTTTTATTTTATTTATCAAGGACTGTGTTTATGGTGCTGCGTACGAAATCTCAAATGAAGATGAAGCAAGTGTGCGTCATGTACTTGATGTACGTGAAAAAGATGGTTATACAATTATTGAAACTTCATTTTATCCTAATGATAATGATCAAAAAGAAAGAAATTGTTATACTTATATGGCTCAACAGGATAATCCATTTTGGGGTGGTGATGCACCAATAGATCAGATTGCTAAACAGATTGCTGAAGCACATGGACCTAGTGGATCTAATCGTGAATATTTATTTAAATTAGCAGATGCTATACGATTATTAACATCGGTAAATGATGAACATCTATTTACACTTGATCAACTTGTCAAGGAAATTTTAACTAAAGATGAACAAAATATTATTAGTATATAACGAAGAAAAGTTAATACTATGCTTATTATTCTCTTAAAATAATTTCTTCTTCTTTTTTTTTTTTGTTTTAAACATTTATATTAATTTTTCTGTGGCGTTTTGAAAGAAAAAAAAGGGAGTATATTAATTAATGATGTATGTTGTTAAAAGTCATAATAAAATATAATAAAATGAATATAATGTGTTGGGTAAATCTAGGATTTTTTAATGAATGAAATATTAAGAAAGAAAGAAAAGCCGACATCACAAATTTCATGATGCGTATTTAACTCTTACTTGAAGTAAAGATACTTTTAGTCGCCAGTAGACAAATAGACAGGCAGACACATGCATAGAAGGAAGCTGAAAATTATTATTATCATCATCATCATTATCATTTGAGAAGACATAGTAACCGAAGAAAACGACGAAGAGAAAAAAAAGAGGAAAATTAAAGATGAAGACGAGATAGAAAAGGAGGAAACAGCACGATATTGAAGAGAAAGATATATGTTTGCAACAACAACGCATCGTTTTATTATCACGTTAAATTACCATAATTGTTGTCAAGTGAAGAACGCACTCGTACTATAATCAGGTAACTATTTCTATTGAACCTAATGGGCGTATGTTAATATAGGTCTTCCTATTGATAAAAATTACTATCTTTTTCTTTTATCAGGATTCTAAGATAAATATTTATCATAAAATTACTAGTTAAACTTGACTTTATTCCGGTTAACATATTACGAGATATATTTAATTTAAAAATTTTACATGAAAAAGAAAAAATGAATATTTTATTTCATATATAGATAATTCATCTCAATATGGCATATCAATTTCGATCAACCTACAGTGGGTAAGTAGAAGAATAGAGTATACATATTTATTACTTGTCATATATTGAGAAGATATTGATTGACAGAAAAATGTTTTCAAGCATAAAAGAATTTTTTTTCGATTTCTTCTCTTTCCGTTGACATTAATAATTATAATAATGAATAATGAAAAACTAGAACAATGTAGGAAGCAAATCGCCCAAGAAAAAACATAGGTAAGCTTGTTGAAATAATAATTTCATATGTCAAAAAGGTTTAATGATGTTCATACGTGTATAAGAACAGGATAGAAATAGATAGAAGAATATAATTTTACGTTTCATTTCATTTTCTTGTATATTTTTAATGTGCAAAAACTAGTCTGACATAGAAAAAAAGAGAATTTAGAGCACGTAAAATTAACCGTAAAAGCACTAATGAGATAGTATGTTACTATTATTATTAATATTACTAAGAACCACATGTTCATGTTGATTCACTTTCATAATTTCAAAAAGAAATGCGAACACCGGTAAATAACTCGCGACGACTAACAACACCAGCAAGATGGGACAGGTAAAATTCGAAAAAAAGATTAGAATTTTTAATTTTATTTCTAAATATAATAAGTTTAAGAAAATATTCAATTAATTAATTATCTATAAGTTGAAAACCAATTTCGAATGTTCGATTCCATGGGTAATAAATATTATTAACATTGAATTCATTTGTTATTTTCTTTGCATACGATATGAAACCTTTTTGAATAAAGGTTTCATAAAAATTTAGATCATTGTTAAGTTTATCGGATGGATCAAGTGATACATCTATTAAATATGAAGAAAGATATTGACGAAGATATGCTTGATATTGAATATCTTCAAGAAAACGATATAATGTAAATCGACGATTTTCTTTTATTGTTGTACTTGTTGATTTTGTATTAAGATAATATTTAAGTAAAACACCATTACTTAAACATGTTCCCAGTGTATTACCATTTGTATTCCATCCAGCATAAGCATAAGTTCCTATTTGAGTATGATTTAATATCCATTGAGAAAAACATATATCACCACCATTACTATAACGTACATCAGCATAAACAATAATAGATTGATTTGTTGTGATATTTAATGGTGAATAATTTTCACAAGTTTGTAATTGTGTTGCTTCATGTTGTGTATCTGTTGACCAATTATTTACAAGAACAAGAATATCAGCTGATGTTTCATTCGTATACTCAATATATTGTCCACCAACAGCAGTTATTTGTTTTAATACACTTTCATTAAGTGGTGCACCTTCATAATTTGGTATGTAATTTTGAGTTGTTACATTTCTATAACGAACAGTAAATGTTGGTATTGAGGATGATTGTTGTTGTTGTTGTTTATTATTAACAACAATTTGACTTAGTATAGCTAAACTAACTTCATCAGCACCAGGATAAATATTTACTTTTGAACTTATATTAATTGATGGATCATGAATTAATTGAATTAATTTTCTTTCTTCAGCCTTATTTAATCCATATTCTGCATTATCATCAAGTGTCAGCCAGATACGTTCAAAATAAAGTCGAGTATAATCATGTAGAAGTGTATAAGTTAAATTATAATTTCTTGCGCGTCGCCATATAAATTCTTGTAGAATATCTGATGGTATTTGTTTTTCTAAAATATGAACTTGTTCTTCATCTGCTGGATTATGAAGTACAGCATATCGATCAGTATAAAAAGACCATAAATAAATAAGACGTCCATATGTTGCCCAATAATCAGATTCTTCAAAATCACCATTATATGCTGGTATACGCATAACAACAGAACTAAGATAAATTTGTAATTTAGAACCAAATTCACGTTTTAATTCTACTAAATTTTTTAATCTTGAATTTAATTCATCAAATGAAGTATTACTTAATCGACTATTAATAAGACCACCATAAAGAAGTTGTTCAGTTGATAGTAATAATGAACATGATGTTGAAATTGAACATGAAGTACTTATTTGATCATGTAACCATTGAAAAAGTATAGTTGTATTTGCTGGTTGTTTCCAATGACTTATTAATTCAATAGGTGGTGTTAATAATGTAAAATCATCTTGAATAAGACGAGCTAAATTAAGTACAATTGATCTTGTTGTAAAACGTTCATCCAATGGAATAAAAAGAATGGTTGTTTGTGTTGTAGAATTTACTTTTGTGTAACATTCTGTAACTATTATAATTAAAAATAAAAGTAATCGAAATAGATGCATGTATAACAGAATATGAATATGAAAATTTATTTTGATTTAGATAAAAATTTCGATGAGAAAATCAACAGATGATATAAAAAGATAAGTAATAAATACGTTATTAAATCTTTCGATGGAAAATATTCCATTTGGAAGATTAGAGTTACATATTAGGCAAAAATAGTAAATTCCAGCTAAAGAAGGAAATAATTGACTTTAGAACAATGGCATTGAACTAAATCTCATGGAGTGATCTTATGCTATTGAATAATATTTTAAATGATATCAGATTTACATGAAAAACTTTTCTTTTATCTTTAGTACAAGTGCAGGAAGTCATGATCCGCCACCCATTTCACACAATCGACATGTTTCACTAGCTAATATAGCTACAGCATTTTTAACTGAACGAAAATCATCATCACTACGTCATGGTAGTGGTCGTCGAAAAAATCGATCAACAATTAAAGAAAAAAAAAAGACATCACAATTAAGACATCAATCAAGTTGTCCAAAAGCAGTTGATACTCTTTTAGGACAACGATTATCATCAGAAAATGGAGACAATGGAATTTCAACAATTTTTATGATAAATGCTAGTGCAACAGGTGCTAATAGTAAACATCGAGCAACTATGGTAAATAAAATCATATTTGTTATTTTTTCTTATATATTAAAATTCGGGGAACACCTATTGTTAAGTATAAGTCAATACAATGTTTCCTTCGTACATCAGTGTCTATAGTAAACAAGAACAAAAGTCGAATGTGTACATTCTTTTTTCTTATTTTTGGTGCTCATTTCCTTTTTTTTTCTTGTATTCTATCTATCTTCAAACTAGCATATGATCACAGTGTTTCTTCCGTAATAAGACAATAGTGCACATCAGGAGTAAGAGTAATAGAAAAAAGAAAGAGAGAGAGAGAGAGTGGGAGAAAGGCGCAAAAAAATGGAAAAAAAAAGAAGATGAGACTTCTCTAAGATAAAAATTATTCATGACTCTTTATAAAGAAATATAGATAAATACACTAATCAATATAAATAACACATAAGAAAATCTTCTTTCAATGCACTATCAAACTCGAAAGTTATCTACAGTTAATGATCAACCATTATTTGATCAATCAGTATCTATAATACCACATAGTCCAAAATCCACAGCACCTGTTCGAATTCATCTTAATCTTCCAGGAGAAGGATCATCACGTCGTTCATCATTTGATTTTAATCTTATATCACCATTGTCAACAACAGTAAAACTAACTAAAAATAAATTAACAACAAATGTTGATGATGTACGACGAACAGCTCGTTTTAGTAATGTTAGTAGTAGTTATGCACTATTTTTGAAGCAACGTGATATGGATAAAGTAAAAAAGATTGTAAGTAAAATAGAATCGATAAGAGATTTTCTTTTTCTCAATAATTTATTTATATAATAAAAATTTATTTTTTGTAGTTATCACAAGAAGATCAACGTTTGTTATTATCATCGAGTGAATGGGTTGAAGATGTAAAAGATAGTGATCCATATATTTCAGTTTTTAGTCGACTTGGTAAGTAGAAATAAATTTTATATTCTTTTTTTTAAATCATTTATTTTAAATAGGTGAAGCTATACAAGATTCGGAAACATTAGTTGAATTTGTGAAAAAATCGTTTTCTATTATTACAAATACATGTAATGTATAGATAATAAAATTTTTGTTAATAGGAAATTTTCAGTCGAATATATATAGAAAGTATCAATTCGATTTCCTGATAGATGCACATAGAACTAAGACTATATAATTAATAAATGCGAGGCAAATGTATAAATCTATTATGAAAGCTTAGAAATCTAAGCAGTCGTTTATATGTAAATCGAGAAAAAAAATTGTCGCAACTATTTATGGATTGAAGATCTATAATTTTCCTTTTTTTTTTTTGAATTATATAAAAATTATGAATACAACATAATGCATCATTTCAATTCTTTATGTAAATATTCCAGACGTATATATTTATGAACCTGTAATTACATAAAAACTGAAGAAGATCTTTGATTAAGTTTTTTTAATAGAGAGTGACTGTACTTAAAATCTAATTTCCTTTTAATAATTAGTTTAGTTATCTTACATTTCCTGAATTTTATTTTTTTTTATGACGTTCATAATTATAATCTAGAATATCTAAGAGTACTCAATTACAAAATGATATATGTTCCTAAAAGCTATGTTAAACTATTCAAGTAACGAAAAAGTTTTGTGAATTTAAATGTATGTTATATGAGATGTTTTTCTATAAGGTATGTCTCAGCTATAGGATAGTAATAAATATAAAATGACTTATATTTTATGCAAAGATATCATATGAATATTATGCTTGAAAAATTGAGACTAGATTTATGAATTTTTAGTCGGAGCTACGGGTTTATTGGCATTGTTAACTGTTTTTCAAGTGATACTTTTTTTTATTGGTAAGTATCTATTATTTATTTGAAATAAAATTGATTATTTATTTTCAATGAATTTAGGTGTTAAATATATAAATGATTGTCCAGCTCAACCAAATTTACCTATTTATTTACTTGTTGTTGGTTCAATGGGTCTTGTACGTGTGCTAAATTTATTGTGGAAACAATTTCGTCGAAGACGTTTAAGAAAATTAGAAGGAATTGAACTTGATCAAGAAGAAGAAACTGACAGTAGTTCGTATTTTTGATTCTAATTTTTTTCTCAAAAATAATTTAATTCATCTTTTTTTCTAGATGGCTCAGGTTTTACAGATGCTGTTTTAAATCTATTTCTTCTTGCCTGGTTTATTGTTGGACAATTTTGGACTTGGAATAGTTTTATGCCAAATTTCGAATTTGGATTAGAAAATCCAGATAAATATTGTCATAGAAATGTTTATATATTTACACTTGTACATATCGGTTTAGTATATGTCATGTTTCTAGCTGTTATTTTATTTTTTATCGCACTTACATGTTGTGCAACATTTCCACAAATACTTGTTAAAACACCACGTTAAATAAAACAAAAATCTATATGTATATTAATCAATATTAGTAAAAAACAAGTTCAATAACGAAATTTTCAAAATAAAAATTCGACATAAAGGAAAAAAACATGATTAGAGAGGAGTTCATCTAAATCTAGCTGATTGATTATCTATCATCAGCTATACTTTCAACGTAAAACATTTTTTAGAAGGTAGTGGTGCCTAACTTTTGTGTTTTCTTTTTCATCTTGATTATCTTGAAATGTGAAGAAAACAAAGTTCATAGTTAAAATTGTGTTTTTTCGACGCTTCCTGTATGCGAACTAAACCTCGTAGAACAGGTCGAAAAACATAAGGTATCAGTTCGATCTGGATATTTTCTGATTTTCCATTATCGAGATCATCGCGTCACGTTTCGTATTTGAGTAAAACTTGAATACCATCTAGTTTTCTTTTATCAAGAGAAAAAGATAGAAGTCTTATTATTTATTGAAAGATCAGTTTTTCATAGAAAAATAAATAAATTATTACAAATAATATTTACGATATTTTAATATGTAAGGATTTTGTTTCGATTTTTACAATGTATGTATATAAGTCAATATTCAATCTATTCGATTTCATTGACTAAGAATGACGTATTTATGACAAAGTTCTTTTTTCCTCTTAATATTCCTATTAATTATCGAATAGTTAATAGTAACTTTTGTATATTGTTTATGAATGGTAATTACTCAAAATCTTTTACTCTTTTATTTGATTAAAATAATGAAAACAAATCGATATAAAATGATTTGTTTTCATTTAATACAATCGTATATCTATAATCATTACTAATGCAGTACAATGAGAATAGCGAATGATAAATATATTATACAAATGAATTAGTGATTATAGTTGAGTGATTTTG